CACACACACACACACACACACACACACACACACACACACACACACACACAACTTTCAGCCATTTAAGGTGAAATAGGAGGATGACATAAATCTCTCCGTTTCATGACATTTGACTTTTGTTGTTGGGGTATTAATTCTATCGTGTTTTGAGAAAATTGTACGCAACACCGCAGTTAAAGACCTGTTTGTGGTAGTTGCTGAATGCTAAATATCACCATTAAGAGAAAATAGTAACACCTAAATGTGTTTATTTGATAATTGATCTTTTAGTTTTTGTATTATTTTCATTTTATTTCTTCTCTTTTATTCATGGTTCCATTTTTGTTATATCATTTGCGCCGGTGTTATTTCTTATTTGGATTTTTTAACCCCGCCCCCCTTTAGAAAATGATAAACCTCTATTATGACTTGTCAATGCATGCGTACCAAATGAAGTGGCCGTTGTCTTCAGCGTGTGTGTGCTGTTGTGCCACGTGCGTGGGCGTTTGTTCGAGCGTGCGTGCAAACGTACTCTTGGCCTTCTCGCTCTTGCGTGATGGCTTCCAGCGGATGCAGGAGCGATGCTCATCCAGGTAAAAGAGTCTCACCAGCCCTTTGGATCCCGCCTTGAGCTTCACCATCTGTGTCCCCGACTGCATTACGCTCATGCATCGCTCCACTGAGAAGAAACACACGCGCACGCACACAAACACACACACACATACATATATTAATATATATAGATATAGATATATATAGATATATATATATATAAAGAAAGAAAGAAAGAAAAAAAGAACATCATTAGAGTGTGACTGCATGTAAGACACAAAAGGAGCAGGTGTGTGTTCTTTATTTATCTTTGTAATTTGTTTCACTGGATGTGGGCAAGGTCAGAGTGTAAAGCGCACACAGAGATGCTGCTGTTTGCGAACACAAGGCTATCTATCCGCTGAGAGAGAGAAAGCCCTAAAAGCAGCTCAAAGAGCAGAGACACTAAGTCATTGATGCACAGGAAGAACATCTCAGCCTCGCCGGGAAGGAGGATGCAAAAGTCTCAGCTTCATTCAACACATTGGAAGGAGCCAACGTCCTTTAGGTACACCTGCGCATCCAACACACAATTCTGTGGAGGATGTTACTCTATTATGACCAAAACAGAAACTCTGAAACGTCACAGGGATCTAAAGCACCCTGTTATACTCTTAAGGTATGCACTGGTGCACAATCAAATCAAAAGAAATCACAGCGGCAAGTCAAAACACATCATTTCCCACAGAAAAAACAAAAAAAACAAACGGCATACAGTAGTGGCTCTGTTGTCGTCCGGCGGCTGGAAAGATTGATTGTTTCATGCCTCAGCTAGATTATGTTTGTGTTTCCACATTCAAGACCACAGTCCTCTTTTTTGTTTCAATTCACCTATCTTATATCATGACACTGATCATGATTTCTCACAGTAAGTACGAAGCAAAATATCCAACAATGACGATTATTACATTCAAAAGATTACAAAATTGGCATAATCGTAAAAAAATAAAAATTAAAATTAAATACAAAAATACACACACGGATCAGAAAATGGATGGATGGATGTTCCTTTTAAATGTCTAATAATGTAGTGATCATACTTGAGTTAAAATTTGCACGTTAGAGTTCTACTAAAATCATTATTTTCAATGTTACAACACTTCTATGGCAATTTACAAGTGTACAGCAAGTAAATTCCAATGCACTATGTACATTCATACAAGGAAACCATTCTTGAAATTATACATTTGCACCTTTTTTTATTTTAAAATAACACATTTTACTGCGATGGGCTGGCAACCGGTTCAGGGTGTCCCCCACCTACCGCCTGGGAACGGACGGGATAGGCTCCAGCCCCCCCCCCCCCCGCGACCCTTGTGAGGATTAAGCGGATCAGAAAAATGGATGGATGGATCACACATTTTATAAAATGTGTTTGGTCCAAAAGGAACTTTTATCATTTTTGTGTTTTTGACGTTTTCAATATTTAATATTCTTTTCAGAATCAATCAACCCTAGTGCGAACAATGAAGCCCTCTTATGTTACACCGCCTTCTTCACAGTAACATGAGCAACCTGACGTCTACTGCAGTGGACCACAACAAGGATTCTGCCCTCATTCTCTAGCATCCGCTGAGCATGTGCACACAGACAGAGACACACACAAATACACTATATGCAACCACATGTATATTTTATCACGAGCAAGTTGTATGTCCTCAGGAAAAGCTTTGCAAAGAAACACATTCTGCTCTTCATGTTCCACCATACCACAGCCAGTACCACTAATGCCCAACAGTAAACATTTCAAGGCTCTAACGGACCAAATGAACAATTCTTGTTGACTCGAGTTTCTTGGGCTTTCCCATTGTTGTGAGTACTGATCACTCCAAAGTAGTGCTGTCAAATTAATCTTAGGACAGGTCTAATAAATGATTAAAAGACCCAAATTCATATACTTTCATTCCCATGATGAGTGCAGTGACACCCCCCGCTATTGGTGGGGATAGGGATCGAGCCTTGCCGAATAATCAATCTGCCAAAGGGGGTTGTAATTGCATATGAATGCCCCAAGGTGAAAGCAACGCACTTAAAAAAGAAAGAATGACAAAACATTAACGCCATGCGTCCAACATGTCCACAATCATGAACCCATGTTACAAAACAAATGTATTTAGTATTGAAATTATTCAAACACAAACACCCTCCACATCAGGCTCATCAATAGTATTAGCTAGCATACTAGCCTAAATGACGTGCAAACTGCAAGTTTCAGTTTCACTTTTGATTACACAGCAGGTGCATTCAATGACCACCAATAAAAACGGACATCTCAATGATCACAAAAAAAAAAAAACCATTATCCAAGAATTAAACAGAACAACAACAAGATTCCACCAGTGGGCGCCAAAGTGATACTGTTATCGCATTGGCCTGAGCACAAAAACGAAGAAAATACATTTTTGGTGAGGAACGGAGGAGAAGTTCCAAAAAAAAAAAAAAGATACCAAACAGCATAATGCAGTGGGGAAACTGGAGACTGACAAGAGTACAGACATACTTCACCATCTTGACAACAGAACACTCCAGCTCGAATTGTTGCTCTGGCGGTATGAAGTGGCCAGGCCACTAAGAGCCATCCGGTCTGCATTATGTAACTGCGATGGGTCGTCGTTCTCCTCATGAATAATTATGACTCCTTGGTGGCTTAAATGGACCTGATCTTCGGTGGAAATAATGTGGTGGGCCACCAACTACCGGTACTTTGGTGGGCTATTCATCGCACACAGAAGATCATATTTTATTCAATATATTTACGATTATATATTTGTTAAATCAATCACCCGATTAATCTGTGATTGTCATTTTTATTCTGCCAAGTATCCAAATCGGCATCGGCCAAAAAAATAAATAAATTATGCCGTTCGGACCCTAGTTAGAAACATTCGGTGCTTGAAAAAAAATAATAGGATGCTGAAGACTCAGAGTCTGGTAGAAAAAAAAAAGATTCAGAGACAAAGAAACAGGCAGAGTGTGCATTATTTATCCCACCCAATCTTCTGATGCTTCATTAACGGATAGCTCTTAACTGTGCCAATGTGGGAATGTCGTGCTGTTGATCTACAATCGACAGTCCCAATTCCAGAGCGAGAAAACATATTCTTCTGGGTGTCGTATCTTAATCTGCCGTAACAAAACTTCTAGCAAGGCGTTCAATTACGTAACACCATAAATATGGCCCAGAGGGAGGGAAACGGCAGCCACATCGTCGCCACTGGAATACTGCACAATTTTCTCAGCGTGTAAATACGTGAGGTGGTTTTTTTTCCCCCGCAGAAAAATGGAGGAGGAGGGAAAATGAGCTAAAAGAGAATACGCAAGTAGGATTTGATTTATTTATTATTAACCTATCGAGCACAAGGCGGCATTCTTTAAATAGAAGGCGTACATGTGCAGCCAGTTTGCCATCTTGTCCTGATGTGTAATGGAGACATCAGACACCTCTTTAGCATATTTTAAATCAGAGAGATTGAAAGTAGAGGAGGAGTGAGCATGTTGGCTTTGAAGTTCTGAGGTTCTGGCTTTGAATCCTGTCTTCTGCGCCTTCCTTAGGTGTAACCCTAAGGAAGACAATTGCTGTCGAAAGATGACAGCTGGACTTTAGTGAACGAGTCCACATTTAAGGACTTTACGATGTTGGATGTTCTCTTTATAATAAATGTGCCGCACACAGTTTTGTTTTGTTTTTTAAATCAATATAGAAATCCCAATTCCGCAGAAGTTCTTTTCCTCAAATCAAATTTTCTGTACCGCCAACTACAGGACTTCAGTCAAAAAGTATTAACTGAGCAACTAGGACTGGGTCATGCGTATTACTTTCCTATATCACAATAGTTTGTTTTTTTTTTTCAATTTCCATTTTATTATTTTTGCTGTCGAGCGAAAACAGCAAAATAGAAAATTTGTTCAGATTTGTTTTGTTGGTCACCTGTTGCGAGGCACAGATCATAGGGCTAATCGTAAGTGATATTAGAGTTCAATCGCAAATTCCTTCTCATTGTGTGTCCCCCATGCATGCACGGCACCACCTTACCCCTAAGAGGCCAATACGCACAAATTTGTATTTGACAAAGACAGAGTTCAAGATTAAAGTGTTCGACGTGCAGGGATGAATTGGCATGAGACTCCGATGGTTGTTTGTTTAGTTGAGTTTTGGTAGCTGAAAAATTCCAATTGCTATTATTTCAGTATATTCTTATCAAACCTTCTTACTAATTCATTTGCTTGATGTCCTTTCAATCTAATTTTCTTTTCCTCAAATTTCAAGAATACAAAGATCCAAGGACTTTTATTTGTTGCACTGACGCTCATTTCCACATGAAATGGCGCAAAATACAATCCCTGAGATCCAGGTTAGCTCAGTAAAGGCTAAAAAAAAAAATAACATAAGATAAAATGAACACAATAAAGATATTATATATATATATACTGTATTCACAGTTTGAATCTGTGCAGAGATGCAAGGCATCAAAGGTGTCGATGGAGCAGAATGAAAATATAAGAGGCTGGAACTGTACATTGTGCAGGCATATTCCTCTTTGCAATATTGTGTCAGGAAAAAATCCATTTTCTACCTGTCATATTTAAGGCTTCAACCACTCAGAGAATATTTCAAATCGGATAAAATATGACCAAATTAATTTTTTTTCGCTTAGTAGACCCAAAAAAAAAAATTGCATCTTTAACCTTATTTCAGGGAGACACACATGGAAGCTCCGAGCCCTCAGAGTAAATAGCATATGAAAGCTTTGAAGCGGCAAATTCAAACATATTTGAATAGAAGAGCTCGTAGCAGTGACGTGATTGAACAAAGCTTGTCTTCTCTCTGATGCACACAATTAAGATCAAGTCAGGACACAGTGAACACCCACCCACCCGTGTCACATTAGCACACACACTTAGCATTTCAGATCAAAAGGGACACTTCTATGCATTTTTCAATTTGAAACTTCAAAAGGGACATTCATTTTGCAAACCAACCGCAGGTTTATTGAGGGAAATACGCTTCAAAAGTCGCACAAAAAAATACAAGAGGCCATCTCGCCGGATCACCATCAAGAAATTTTAACTGAAATCTTCCTTCTCTTT